CCACTGAGCCAAACCAGTTTCGGCTTGACCTCAGTTTTTAGCCACAATTGAATTCCTGTGAGGCTGTGTCCGTGGCAATGGTTGACTGCTGCCTTCCTTCCCCTGTGTCTGCTTCAGAATCCCCACGGCTGTGGGCACAGAGACAGGGATTCTCCAACTGGACTGTGCACACAAGTCACCTGGGGCTGGTCAGACGCACATTGCAGTCAGTCCCCAGGAGTGGGCTGGGCTGAGCTCCTGCCTTTCCAGCAGGTGCTGACGCTGTGGCCCAGAGGGCGCACTTGGAGTAGCAAGGATGTGGGAATCCAGCCTCCCATCAGGGAAATGGCCACAAACAAAAAGGTTGTGAGGGAGATGACCAAGGGCGGGCAGAGGGTACGGCCATAGAAACATCTTCAGGATCTGGGAAATACAGTGATCACACGGGCATGTGAAATGACTGGCATCACAAATTGTTGTTGAAAGTCAATATACACCTGGGGGTGACAGAGACAGCCCTTCTTAGGAAAGGGGTGTGCAGGGGAGAGGCAGGTAACATTTGATTCTATAAATGGGTTAAATCAAAAGGCTTTGGACCCAGGCCACTGAGATTAGGGGGAGGAGAGAGTGGGCAATTTTGAGTTGAAACAACAAAGGGTCTAAGTGAAAGGGGGGGAAATGGTAGAAAATAATGATTTTAGTGATAGAAACTATTGGATACAGCAGGATTATAATATGTGCCCACATATGTTTTATATATGTCTTATAAGGATATGCATAATATACATATTTTATAATATGTATATAACTACAAACAGATCCATATATGTGTATGTGTGTGTAGCAGAACTTCTATATTCATATACTAAATATGTATTTCAGAAGATGAAAAAGAAACAAAGCAGGTAAAGGGAAATTACATTCGAATTGAATTTCTAGAAGTCAACAGTGAAGCTTATAAAACTGTTGACTTTGTTTAATGAAGGGAGAAGCTTGGTTAATTCATTAACTGGCATTACACAGGTTTTGATGTTTACAGAATGATTTCAAAATCATCATTTCCTTGCGAGGTCGTCAGAGCAGGCCTATCCCATGTTGAGCAGGGTGGGGCAGCTCTGATTTCCCCTTTCACACATGAAGACACTGGGGCTCTGATGTGTGTCCACATCAGGAAGGCTCTAAGTGATAGAACGTCTTTTCTTTTTCCTTTATTGTGAGTCTCCCTACTGTGCACGTCCCATGTCAATTAAATTTCTGTCACAAAACTCCTGGGGATAAGATGAAGTCCTATATTTTAAATTTTTTTGAAGTGGGTCGAATAGTGTGAGCAAAAGTTTCCCCTCCTTGGTCCTGGCTGGGAAAGACCCAGAGGGACCTGGGAGAGCAGGTGCTATCGAAAACACGAGCGGCCAGCTGTTACCTTCAGGGCCATAAAGGAAAGTTGGCCTTTGTGTTTCCCAGGACACCATCAGTTCCGAGGGGTCAGAAAGTTCATTCCTAGACTGGATCACGGTCAGCCCAGTTCTAAAGTACACGCTGTGCCCTCTCCCAATATTTAACAGGGTGCACTGACCGCTGACCGAACTCCCTGTCTCTCACATGCCTGTGCAAGACTCTCATTGCCTATGGTTTTATAGTTGGACTCCTTGCTTGGAATTCATAGAGACCCAGGAGGATGGTTTCCTATATTATATAAGGGGTTTAGATGTGTATCTTCATCTTAATTTTCAATTGGACATTTAATTTGTTATTTCAATGTTTCACAGACGTTTAGGATGTACTAGAGATGGAAGAGCAAGTCCTGGGTGCAGAACCCTTAAAATTACACACTTAGAAGGTCCCTGTATGCAAGAAGAGTCCCACACACATTTATACGTCCTTCCCAGGTTGTGACCTGGGCACAACCCCAGCCTCAGAGAATCCTGCAGAGAAAATCAGGAGCATGACAAGAATACCTAAGGCATCTAAGTATAAATAGTACCCCCAGAATTGTGCCATGTACAACCCACACAGCTACGTCAACCCTGAGACTAATCTTTCTCACGGCTGTCATTCAGCATTGTGTTGGGAGGCTAAGAAAGACCAATATGTATGAAGCTGTGTAAAGATTAGAGAGGAAAGAAACTCTTGTTATACACATATAATATAAGAGGCCCAGTGCACGAAATTTAGGCATGGGTAGGGTCCCTAGTGGCTGTCAGTTGGCGTTTCAAATGAACAGGAAAAGGACAGACACTTTAATAAATGGCTATTGGAATAATTCAGAGAAGTAAGTTCCAGGTGGACTGATGACCTATTTTTTAAATAATAGAAGTATTAGAGGAGAGTATGTTAAATGTCATTGGAAGTTTGGAAGTTGAGATAGCTCTTTCTTCAATAAGATCCTAAGAGTAAAATTCATAAAGGAGAAAATGAGTAACTTCAACTATATAAAAATAACAACAGCATAACAATAATAGTAAATACTTCTATTGACTAAAAGCAGAATGTAAACAAAGTTTAAAAAACAAATTACAGACTTAGAATATTTAGCATATGTATATCAAAGAATTAGTATTAAGAAAAAAAACATCTGAGGCTTGCCTGCACCCTGGTCCGCTCCTGGGTGGCTGGGAGGCTGAGGGCGGGTCTGGCTGCACTGTGCACCTGCTGCCCCCCTGGATGGGCTGAAAGGATTGTGGGACTCTGACGAGGCTGAGGGGCCTGGGGGCCTCCATCTTGTGGCTATGGGACCCTCCATCTTTGTGATGGCATGAATGCCAATTTGCATATTCTCTCTTTATTAGATAGGATTTTATAGGATATGACAGGCAACACAGAGCTGACTAAACTATTGTTACTAGGTAATAGTTTTATAAAATTATAACTTATGACATGCTCCTTATAAGAATGAAAAAGCAGTACAGGTAAAGAAGAACTCTCCTTAGCCATCCTCCCCTAAAGTAACTCATATATCCATTTGGTTTATTTATTGCCAGGTGGTCTCATTTGCTTTCAAATATACTTATATGCACTAATAAACTAGATGTCATATTCTCATTCTGTTTTTCCACTCAATAAACTTTCCATATCCATATTCCACATGGAGACTGTCCAGATCAATCTGTAGCTCTATCTCAATTTTAACTGCTGCACGGTACTGCACAGAGTACAATCCTTTTACTAATATTTAGCCATTACCCTGTTCGTAGGCATGTAAGCTGTTTCCAAGATTCCACTCCTACCAAAATGCTACAATGACCTCATTGTATGTGCCTTCTTGTGCCCATGTGCGAGTGCTTTTCTAGAGAATATGCTGAGACATTGAATTGCTACATCATGAGATGTGTGCATTTTAATTTTAGATACTGTCGAATTGCCCTGCACAGTGTCTGCACCAGTTTATACTCCCACTAGCAGAGAACGCTAGTTAGTACTCCTTCACACCGTGATGCAGCTGTCCAGCTGCCCAGCCACCCAGGGCCGGCCCAATGTGCAGGCAAGCCTCAGATGTTGGCTGCCCAGCTGCCCAGGGCTGCTCGAGGCTCAGGTAACCAGGGCCGGCCAAGGCTTGCACTGCCAGCAGTGGCAGCAGCAGAGTTATGATGGGAACATAGCCTTCCCATGATTTCCGGGTTGCCTCCTGCCCCTGAGGGCTCCCAGACTGTGAGAAGGGGCAGGCCATGCCGAGGGACCCTCTTCCAATGCATGAAGTTTTCATGCACCAGGCCTCCCTCTAATAAAAGCATACTATGGAAATCAACTGAATGGTTGAACAGTGGAACGACCATCTGAATGATGATCTGTACCACCACCCAGGACCACGCTATGACACCCACTGGCACCAGGCCAGCCAAGGCGAGTGTGATGCGATTGGTCAGGGACTTGGCCATCGCCCCACAAAGGGAGGCCCAGGACACCCCCCAGCAGGCTGTGGCAAGTGGGCAGGGCCTCCCTCTGCCAGGAGAAGCACAGGTTCCGGGTGCCAGAGGGAAGCCGGTGCGGGCTGCTGGGGGAAGGAAGACCTACTCTTGCACATTTTGTGCTTCAGGCCTCTAGTTTATTCCATGATAGAGGAATGGCTTGAGACTAGGAGTTGGCAAACATTTTCTCTAAAGGGCCAGATAGTCAGTATTTTGTGTTCTGGTAGCTACACTGTCTCTTTTGCAACTACTCAGTTTCTGCTGTTGTAGAGCAAAAGCAACTATAGATAATACCTAATGAGTGAGCAATAAAAGTTTCCTTAAGTTATTTATTATGTTTTAATGTTTTTACTTATTTTATTTTTATCTTATATGTATTTATATCACTGTATTAGTAGTTGCTATATAACTAAAACATTTTAAATAAAAAAATTGGGTGTACGGAAAAATTATCATTTCTATTAACCAGCTAATCAAATAAGTACTCTGAGGCCTTGCTCAGGAAACAAACAAACAAACAAAAAACATATATATATATATATATATATATATATATATATATATATATATATATTTTTTTTTTTTTTTTTTTTTTTTTTTTTTCCCCCCAGAGAGGAAGGGGGAGGGAGAGAAACATCAATGATGAGAAAGAGTCATTGCCTGGCTGTAGGAGGCCGAGCCTGAAACCCAGGCATGTGCCCCGACCAAAGAATGAACCGTGACCTCCTGGCTCATAAGTCCACAGGTGCTCAACCACTGGGCCACACTGGCTGAGCTTTGCTCAGAATATTTTAGACTCTGATTAGAGACCAAACGCCCACCCCAGGGGCCCCCTTGTTGGTGACCATTGGCCTTCCCAGCAGCAGAGGGTATGACTCTCCGTGTGGGAGGGGACAGTCCTGCCACAGCCGACCCACTGAGACAAGGTCCAGTGACCCCAGAGGTGACTCCTCACCATCCAACGCAGAGGCGACTGAGAGCAGGGCACCTGGGCACAGCCTGTCGCAGGCCGGGCTGTGACGTGGGGAGAAGAAGGACTCAGGGGAGCCGAGCACGAGAGATAGAGGCTCAGGTCAGTGGGACCAGGCTCCTCTCCTCAGAGCTCGCGGGTCCAACCACGGCTGCCCCCAGGATGCGGCAGAGCGTCTGAGGGTCCCCCCCGTCCCCCCCTGAGCCATGAGGCCTGCGACGCTCACGCCGCCATAACTCAGCGCTGGTTCCAGAGCTGCCCACGGAGACCCAGAGGACGAGGGGAGCCCGGGCCCAGGGGTTCCCGGCTCCCAGTCCCAGCGGGTTTTCTGGGTGAGGAGATTCCAGCTCCGCAACACCGAGGGCCTGCGACTCCCAGCAGCTCCCGCCTGAGGTGGCCACCGCGACTATGTCTCTCGGAGGCCAACGCAGGGCCAGGGCGCCTCGTGAATGGGACTCAGTAGTGAGTGACTGTCCTCGTGGCCTCCTGCATCCTGTGGACAGCAGCAGGGCCGCTGGGGTGCTGGCCTCTGGCACGATGCACGTATGTTCCCACTCTTCCTTTGCATGGTGGGGGGCTGGGAGGGGGGGCAGCAAAAGCGGGGAAAACAAAAACCATACCTGCTTGGCAGTAACTTCTTTGCTCTGACTTCTCCTTGGGGGTCCACTTTGAATAATCAGGAACAAAGGGTCAGTCAGAACCCCAAGGCCCCCATTCGCAGGGGAGAGAGCGCCTGCGGCTTCGGCTCCCGTGAGGTTGGGCAGAGTGTCCCGTCCTCGCCCCAGTCCCAGGTTGTCTTCCCCGGGATGTGAGCCAATCTCCTCTCTCACCTACATCTCAGGGCAGGTCAGATGCGGCTCCCAGTGGACCCGTCTGGCACTCCCAAGTCCCAAGTCCAGCGCTCCAACCAGGCAAAGGAGCAGGTTACCGTATTCACTCTCATTGCGTGCCCACACTTTTCTCTCTCCCAGGTCTTCACTGAGAAACACCAAGGAGGAGGGCGGGAACCTTGCTAGCATCTACTTTGTCTACCTACTGCTGAGCAAATGTTGTGCTCCCAAGGGTCTCTTAACGTTAGCCACCGTGGCAGAGTTATTTAAACCTTCGGTCTCCTAGCCATTTTTCCTTCCTTTAAGCCACCTTCCCAGATGGGGTTTCTGTACCTGAAAGTGAGCAGAATACTGGATGCTGCTGGTGCCAGGGGGGCCTCATGGGCATGAGAGATACAGGCGAGGAGGAAAGAGGGAGTGGGGTGGGGGAACTGAGCACAGTTCGCCTGAGGCTGACAGCTGCCTGTCCAGGAGCAGGGAGAGTGGCCCTGGGGGAGCAGCTAAGGGTTCCCTCCTCCTCCTCCTCTTCCTCCTCCTCCGAGTGCCAGCAGCCCCCACGCTTAGCCTGATCCCTCCTGCTCCCCGCCAGCTGGTGATGGCTGGGAAAAGTGGGTTTCCCCAAAATTATCACAGCACCTTCTGTGTGAAAATTTGGACGTCCTTACACTTATTTCCTGATTTAAATTGTTATTATTTTGAATTGTATATTTTAATCCAGCCCTTCTGATGAGAACAGCAGGAATGCCAAAGGTTTTTTTATTTGTTTGTTTTGTAATTAAATGTCTCTTCTCTTCCACTCAATTTGCCCCTCCCTCCAGGTGGGGGAGACTTGAGTCTCATATTTCCTAGGGGGTCAGCGTTGTTCAAGCGGCCCTTCCCAACCAGATGCAGGAAATTAGCTGGCTGCACAGTTCACTGCCAACAGCAGGGGCTGGACCCCTGATCACCTGCCTCCTTCTTCTCAGCAAGTTTCTGACCGTCCATGGGAGATCCTTCGAGGGCCGGTTGGCGCTGGGTTATCAATCCCCGTTTGGTTTGGGCTTTGGGCAGAGAGGACCCAGAATAAGTGAAATACTGGACGTGGGTCCCAGTGGAAACAGCCCGTCGATAGTGCCGGGGCTCCATGCCCAGAGGGCCATGACCATAGCCACAGGGGTTGGGAAGGCTGGAAAAGGCTAGAAACTCACCCTGGAAACTCATTTCCAAGATTAAAAGTAGGCCTTTCTGGGAGCACAGAGGGTTTTTAGGGCAGGGGAAACACTCTTGTATGATACCTAGGGGCAGCTTCATGTCATGACACATTTATGTAAGCTCATGGATTGCACACCAAGAGTGAGCTCTAATGTAAACTATAGACTTTGGGTCAGTGTGTGTCAGTGTGAGCTCATCAGTTGTAACAAATGCACCCTCTGGTGGGGGTGGGGGGTATAGATAATGAGGAGGCTGTGCATGTGGGGGGCAGGGAGTGTATGGGGACCGTACCTTCCCCTCAACTTGGCTGTGAACCTAAGACTGCTCTAAAAGCTATAAAATCTTAAAAATAAAAGGAGACCTTTTTGTAGAGCCAGGCATTTCTGTGTCCAGGAAAAAAAAAAAGGCAAGATCCCAGCTCAGGGAGGGCAGCTTGCCAGAGTCCTGGGATAAAACACACAGCTTTCGTCATCTCTCCAATTGCTCCTGGCTCCCATGAGCCTATCCTTATCTCTCTTATAAAAATGGTGAATTATTTACCCCAGAAACAGGGAACAGGGAGCAGGTTATAAAATCACTAAGGCAAAGAAACTCTTCCGGGGTTTTGGAGGGGTCTCTGGGTCTGCTGTGGTGTCACTGGCCAGGGGCAGGAGAAAAGCTGTAAGACGGCCTGGCCTCTGAGTCTCTGCGAGCAGTTTTAAGGTCAGGCCTGGCTCTCAGCTCAGAAAATGCACCACAGTTACGAGGAGAGCTTATCAATGTCCCGGACGAGGGTCTGAATCGACCTCAAGCACAGCTGGGAAGTCATCATTTGCAGCCACCGGGTACTGAGCTCCCAAGCCACTCCTAGGAGAAAAGCGGATCTGATAAACCGGAGGAGTCTTCTTAGTGCATTCACTTAATGTTTGCCTCCCTCCAGGAATATCTGTATTTTAAAAGAACCGAGAGAGTCAACTAAAGGGTGATGTGCTAACCGGGTAAGATCAGGTTAAGCCTGAGGAAAATAGTTGTTTATCAGCCAGTCAGATGGTCCTTCTCAAAAATCTCTTAGGATTATTCTGGAATGGGCTGAAGCAGGCCCCTGCAAAGAGGTCAGCCAGGGCAACACCGCAGGGGAGGCTCTGATCCCCAGAGGCGATCTCGGAGGTGCCCGTGGTCCTTGGGTGCAGCAGTAGGTGCCTGAGACGAGGGACAGGACCCTGCCCTTTGAAAGGGGGTCCCATTTTATCACAAGTTGGAAGCAGTGACAAGACTCTAATAGCAATAGCTTTGCTCCACAATATTATATAGGAACATTTCAATAAAATGTAAATTTAGGAGTCAGGTGAGGAATACTGCCAGCCTATGAAATGGATAATCGCTTGCAAAAATTGTGCTTATTCCACGAATGAAAAACAAACACTGAACGTATTTAAGGCAGTTGAAGTTACTTAGTCATTCAGCCTCAGACAAGTGGTTGCTTAGACCTTTTTTCTCTGTAAAATGTGATGTGACCTTGAATTTGAGAAGGAATTCAAGAAATCATTCAAGTATTTAAATATCTTTAAATTGCAGATACTTTTATTTTACTTTATTATTTTTAAAAATTTTAGAGTACAATTTACCATTCTTTAAAAGTATTTATTATGGAGATTATGGATATATAGACTTGGCTCATTTCATCTAAACTATCAAATTTATTGTCATAAGTTTTCAAAATATTCCCTATTATCCTTTTAATGCCTGTCGGACCTATAGAGACATTCCTTCTTTCAGTGTAGTGATATTAACCTCTCTGATTCTTGACATAATTTGCGTTTTTCTTTTTTAAATCAGTCTTTCTAGGTGTTTATTACTTTCATTAATCTTTCAAATAACCGAATTTTGGGTTTGTTAATTATCTCTATTATTGGTAAGTTTTATTTCATTGATTTCTGCTCTTACCTCAAACTATCCCTCTTACCACACACTTTGGGTTTACTTTGCTTTTCCTTTTGTACCTTCTTTTGGTGGGTACTTAGATAACTGCTTTAAAAATTTTTTTTTCTAATATCTATCTATCTATCTATCTATCTATCTATATAAAAGCAGGTAATATGCAAATTAGCCAGGCATCACAACCGGCTCAGGAGGAGCTGCATGAGCAGATGGGCAGGCGGGGACTGCGTGCTACCCCCGCCCCCGCACACACACAGCAGGGGTGGAGCGTGCTCCAAGCGGCCGAGGTGCAGTTCAGAGCATGCCCCGGTGGGTGGTGGCAGCTGCCTGAGTGAGCAGCCCGGTCCCCGGTGCCAGAGAGAAGCCGGTGCCAGCAGTCAGGGGAAAGAAGGCTTATTCTTGCACGAATCTTCATGCATCAGGCCTCTAGTGATTATATAAAGTTATTATATAAAGATTATATAAAACACTGCTTTAGGTGCATTCAAATTTCAAAGTTATATTTTCTCAATCATTCTGATCAAAGTACTTTCTAATTTCCAATGTCATTTCTTCTTTAACACAAAGGTTATTTAGAAATGTATTGTTTAACCTCCAAATATTTGTGAATTTTCTAACACTATTTTTTTTCTCCTGATTTCTAATTTATTGATTTCTGTGGCCAAATAACTTATTCCATGAGATTTCAGTCTTTTGAAATTTGTTGGCACTTGTTTTATGGCCCATGATATAGCCTGTCGTGATAAATGATCTATGTATGCTTGAAAAGAATTTGTGTCCTATAGTTGTTGGGTGTAGTGCTTTGATTAGGTCAAATTGTTCAAACTTTCGATAACCTTACTGCTTTCTTGTCTAATTGTTCTATCCATTATTGAGAGAAAAGTGTTAAATCTCCAACTATGATTTTAGATTTGTCTTTTTCTTTACTTCTGTCAGTTTTGTCATGGATTTTGAAGCTCAGCTATTAGGGGCATAAATAGTTAAAATTGTTCAGTTTTCCTGATGAATTGATCCTTTTATCATTATGAAGTATTCTTTTAAAAATATATTTTTTTATTGATTTCTGGGATTGAGACTGCAACCTAAGCATGTGCCCTGACTGGGAATCGAATCATGGCCTCCTGGTTCATAGGTTAATGCTCAACCACTGAGCCATGCTGGCTGGGCTAAAGCATTAAAAAAAAAAAAAAAAAAAAAAAAAAAATCTCTGGTAATACTCTTTTAAAATTATTTTTATTTTTATTTATTTTTATTGATTGATTAAGGTATT